CCCAGGTAGATAGATGGTTTATTGAGGTAAAATTTTGCAGCCTTAAATTAGCTGAATAACTGAATTATGAGTACCTTTACAAAGCATTATTAAAAGGAGAATTATATACATGTCATTATAAGGAATAAAAGTATTTTTATATCTACTTGTTTTGCAAATTTGCAATTGCAATCCCAATGAAGGCCCCTTCCACCCCAATGAAGGCCCTTCTGCCTAAAACATCAGCACAAAAGGAAGAATTAAAATTAGAATAACTTGGTTAGGAAGAGTGTGTTAATATTCTCATGACCAAAACTTTTGTCTAGCGAATGAAATATGACAAAACGTTGTGTCAAAAATCAAGTCCCAGAGGCTCAAAAATTCAAAATGTTTCTGGAAGTATATCTCCTTGAAATATCGTTCGTTTTTTCATGCATCCACTGATAAATTCTTAAAAAGAGTCACTGCTTGTAGGGAGATTACCAGTGAGGGAATTAAAGTTTGACATTCCTTATTTCCGGGAGTGTCTGGCGATGATGCTGGCGTGTTTTTATAGGAAGCATCTGGAACTATCTGAATGAAATAGAATGACACGTCAATTTTATCTCTAAGAACTAGCAATCATTTCAAGACTGCCATACTTCATGTCCAGCGCTTGTTTCAAGTTTCAACAACAAGTTTAGAACATGTCCTTATCATCGTAACAAGTTAAAACTTGTCACGACTGCAAGTTGTTTTTCATAGCGTTTGTAACAGACTTTATGACACATTGCCAAAATAGTATTTTCGAGTTATGTTTCGACAAATGCGTTATTTGGACTTGTTGGAACATGCTGTGGCATGTCGAATATCTGAGTATGTTAGTTGTTACCTTGTTTACCAAAACGTTGACAAGCGCTATTAAAATCTAAGTGGGAAACTAAATGGTCTATCGTAATTGGTTTATACTGTTGTTGTGTCCCCATTAGTACTGAACTAAATAAATAAATAAACTACTGAATAGCTCTATTTGTCGGTTCTAAATGGTTTTTCCTGGAGCTTAATTAAATAACGCGCGGTTCATCCCTTGTTCCAGTTGAGGGTCCTGGGTTAACACCAGACAACTGGATTTTGTTACATGCTGTTGTAATTAGCTACTGCACTCAGATTTGATTTTCATTTGATATATATTTCCACTTTTAATTTTCTCGAAATGCTCATTACGAAGTGTTGTTCAACTGAAGCCATATGTTTTGTCACGCGTGGAGCCCACGAAGCGCCCACAGTTAGATCATTCTAACATTTATTTTTCTTCCCAGGAGCTAGCCAGTGCATGCGAACTAACAGCGACCCATCACGACATTGTACGGACGAATGTATTGTACATACTGGTTGTAGTAACGCCAGGAAGAAATGCCTTTGTGATGGTAACTGTGGATACAGCTGTACATACCCCAGTAAGTATATATATGTATCCTACCTTATCCTTCATTATCCTATAAGTATATATCCGTATCCTTCATCCTGTAAATATATATC